TTATCAAGATAAGCAGTCTCAATGCATTTCCTACACACGTGACTCTAACGTGGAAGAAGAACGTGGTTTAGCGCATATTAAAAGCCTATTAAAAAATATAAACGAACGCCAGAAGAGAAAAGAGGAAAAAGAAATAAAAAGAATAGAGATAGAAAAGAAAGAGAAAGAAAGAAAAGGAAGAAACAAAGAGACTGATCCCAGAGGGTGATCAGGCCCCAAGACCAAGGAGAAAAAGAGAGACAAAGAGAGGCGCATGTGCTTTTCTAACTTCCTCCTGCTCAAGGGCGGGACTAAGTATGACGTATGCTCTAAAAAGTTTCTCAAATTACATTTCTCAATATAACCACTAGATGGAGACATTACATAGGAAAATTTCTATCACATTCCCTCCTTTTGTCACAAGACAACAAAAATAATTTTCCAAAAGTAAGATATCTAATACTGTAAATAAAAATCCGGTTAAGCAATGTATGACTATTTTTTTTCAATATTGTAACCCAAAATTTGTTTTCTACAATATTTTCATTAATTACTTTACTCAACGTTCTTCTTCCACTATAAAATGTTAAAACACTTCTAATAATAAACAAGCAAAATTATTAAAATTCTAATTCACTTCTCATAATAAACAAGCAAATTATAGCACACTAAAATCAAACGCAAACATGTATTAGCTAACATTCTAATTAGCATTACATGCATTACCTAAATATCCTAAAAAAAAACAACACATTCTTCCTTTTCCCACAACGGTATCGAAAGGTCAGGTACCTGTCATTGAGGAAAGTTTTCCCCTTTCTAATTGAAACTAGCCGAGAAATCTATTTATAAATTTGTCAAGATACAGACCTTCAAACACCGTCCTGGAGTATATGAAGCCAAACATCCCCCTGTCGTTTTGTTTGACAAGAAGTAAAAGACTTTCATACCTCTAACTGATATCTATGCCGTTTGCTGTGTGTACAATGTGTTCAACAATGAAATACAAAACATAACATTTATTGCAATGTATTATTGTCCTCGTATTCGTCACAGTCTTTCTGTTTCCAATTGTCCCAAATTGTCCCAAAGTTCCTTTGTTGTTTCCAGTCGTCCTAAAGTTCCTCTGAGGTTTCCAGTTGTCCCAAAGTTCCTCTGAGGTTTCCAGTTGTCCCAAAGTTCCTCTGATGTCTCCAGTTTCCTGGACACACTAAAATGATTGATTACCAAAAGAACAATTTCTCAATTCGGAATGTTTTCTAGATCATTAAATATTGCATTCCATTCCTTATCCATCATTTTCACCATTTTATATATCCTTCCATTGTGATGACCAAAGTGACAGCCTTTTGCAACAAGGTCGAGATGCATCGCAAAAGACAAGGCAGGCAAATGATGATCAGCAAGATCATAAATATCACCAGGGCAATCGTGTACATCATCCAATGGAACCATCCACTTCCCAGGTTTAAGAACCATGAAAACCATGAATTATCTACTACTGTATTACTATAGAATTTTTCATGTGTTGTATTATGTTTGATATATTCTTGGATTCGTCTGGGATATTGAAACAGCATGTTGAAAATGTTTATTTTTCAGACTATTAGAATCTTAAGGAAACTTTTTGTCTTCTGAGTGAAACCTTTGGGATAACTTCTTCCTACTAGAGTTTCTCGCTTTGATTTAAATTTCCTTGGCCGTTACGGCTGTTTTTCCTTAAATTAGGGAAATGTTTAAATTCTTCGGGTTAAATTGGATGACAAAAAAAATTTTTTTTTATTAGCCTAAATGCTAGGCTTTGGGGCCTGTTAGCTCAGCTGGTTAGAGTGTGATGCTAATGACGCTGAAGTCGTGGGTTCGATCCCCACATGGGCCAAAGTGTTTTTTGAAAATAGGGAACCTTTATCGTTTTGTTAATTATTTCTGTTTGGACATTTCCACATGTAACTATTTTGAGGCAAGAAAATCAACTTCAATATGGCCGAAATAGCTCAGTTGGGAGAGCGTTAGACTGAAGATCTAAAGGTCCGTGGTTCAATCCCGGGTTTCGGCAAAGTAATTTCAGTACCAATTTCTTTTAGAATGTTGAAAATGTTTATTTTTCAGTTCTATTAGAATCTTAAGGAAACTTTTTGTCTTCTGAGTGAAACCTTTGGGATAACTTCTTCCTACTAGAGTTTCTCGCTTTGATTTAAATTTCCTTGGCCGTTACGGCTGTTTTTCCTTAAATTAGGGAAATGTTTAAAATCTTCGGGTTAAATTGGATGACAAAAAAAAATTTCTATTAGCCTAAATGCTACACATTGGGGCCTGTTAGCTCAGCTGGTTAGAGTGTGGTGCTAATAACGCCAAGGTCGTGGGTTCGATCCCCACATGGGCCAAAGTGATTTTTTGAAAATAGGGAACCTTTATCGTTTTGTTAATTATTTCTGTTTGGACATTTCCACATGTAACTATTTTGAGGCAAGAAAATCAACTTCAATATGGCTGAAATAGCTCAGTTGGGAGAGTGATAGACTGAAGATCTAAAGGTCCGTGGTTCAATCCCGGGTTTCGGCAAAGTAATTTCAGTACCAATTTCTTTTAGAATGTTGAAAATGTTTATTTTTCAGTTCTATTAGAATCTTAAGGAAACTTTTTGTCTTCTGAGTGAAACCTTTGGGATAACTTCTTCCTACTAGAGTTTCTCGCTTTGATTTAAATTTCCTTGGCCGTTACGGCTGTTTTTCCTTAAATTAGGGAAATGTTTAAATTCTTCGGGTTAAATTGGATGACATAAAAAAAAAATTCTATTAGCCTAAATGCTACACATTGGGGCCTGTTAGCTCAGCTGGTTAGAGCGTGGTGCTAATAACGCCAAGGTCGTGGGTTCGATCCCCACATAGGCCAAAGTGTTTTTTGAAAATAGGGAACCTTTATCATTTTGTTAATTATTTCTGTTGGGACATTTCCACATGTAACTATTTTCAAGCAAGAAAATCAACTTAAATATGGCCGAAATAGCTCAGTTGGGAGAGCGTTAGACTGAAGATCTAAAGGTCCCTGGTTCAATCCTGGGTTTAGGCAAAGTAATTTCAGTACCAATTTCTTTTAGAATGTTGAAAATGTTTATTTTTCAGTTCTATTAGAATCTTAAGGAAAATTTTTGTCTTCTGAGTGAAACCTTTGGGATAACTTCTTCCTACTAGAGTTTCTCGCTTTGATTTAAATTTCCTTGGCCGTTACGGCTGTTTTTCCTTAAATTAGGGAAATGTTTAAAATCTTCGGGTTAAATTGGATGACATAAAAAAAAATTTCTATTAGCCTAAATGCTACACATTGGGGCCTGTTAGCTCAGCTGGTTAGAGCGTGGTGCTAATAACGCCAAGGTCGTGGGATCGATCCCCACATGGGCCACAGTGTTTTTTGAAAATAGGGAACCTTTATCATTTTGTTAATTATTTCTGTTGGGGCATTTCCACAAGTAACTATTTTCAAGCAAGAAAATCAACTTTAATATCGCCGAAATAGCTCAGTTGGGAGAGCGTTAGACTGAAGATCTAAAGGTCCTGGTTCAATCCCGGGTTTCGGCAAAGTAATTTCAGTACCAATTTCTTTTAGAATGTTGAAAATGTTTATTTTTCAGTTCTATTAGAATCTTAAGGAAACTTTTTGTCTTCTGAGTGAAACCTTTGGGATAACTTCTTCCTACTAGAGTTTCTCGCTTTGATTTAAATTTCCTTGGCCGTTACGGCTGTTTTTCCTTAAATTAGGGAAATGTTTAAATTCTTCGGGTTAAATTGGATGACATAAAAAAAAAATCTATTAGCCTAAATGCTAGACTTTGGGGCCTGTTAGCTCAGCTGGTTAGAGCGTGGTGCTAATACGCCAAGGTCGTGGGTTCGATCCCCACATGGGCCAAAGTGTTTTTTGAAAATAGGGAACCTTTATCGTTTTGTTAATTATTTCTGTTTGGACATTTCCACATGTAACTATTTTGAGGCAAGAAAATCAACTTCAATATGGCCGAAATAGCTCAGTTGGGAGAGCGTTAGACTGAAGATCTAAAGGTCCCTGGTTCAATCCCGGGTTTCGGCAAAGTAATTTCAGTACCAATTTCTTTTAGAATGTTGAAAATGTTTATTTTTCAGTTCTATTAGAATCTTAAGGAAACTTTTTGTCTTCTGAGTGAAACCTTTGGGATAACTTCTTCCTACTAGAGTTTCTCGCTTTGATTTAAATTTCCTTGGCCGTTACGGCTGTTTTTCCTTAAATTAGGGAAATGTTTAAATTTTTCGGGTTAAATTGGATGACATAAAAAAAAAATTTCTATTAGCCTAAATGCTACACATTGGGGCCTGTTAGCTCAGCTGGTTAGAGCGTGGTGCTAATAACGCCAAGGTCGTGGGTTCGATCCCCACATGGGCCAAAGTGTTTTTTGAAAATAGGGAACCTTTATCATTTTGTTAATTATTTCTGTTGGGACATTTCCACATGTAACTATTTTGAGGCAAGAAAATCAACTTAATATGGCCGAAATAGCTCAGTTGGGAGAGCGTTAGACTGAAGATCTAAAGGTCCCTGGTTCAATCCTGGGTTTCGGCAAAGTAATTTCAGTACCAATTTCTTTTAGAATGTTGAAAATGTTTATTTTTCAGTTCTATTAGAATCTTAAGGAAACTTTTTGTCTTCTGAGTGAAACCTTTGGGATAACTTCTTCCTACTAGAGTTTCTCGCTTTGATTTAAATTTCCTTGGCCGTTACGGCTGTTTTTCCTTAAATTAGGGAAATGTTTAAAATCTTCGGGTTAAATTGGATGACAAAAAAAAAATTTCTATTAGCCTAAATGCTACACATTGGGGCCTGTTAGCTCAGCTGGTTAGAGTGTGGTGCTAATAACGCCAAGGTCGTGGGTTCGATCCCCACATGGGCCAAAGTATTTTTTGAAAATAGGGAACCTTTATCGTTTTGTTAATTATTTCTGTTGGGACATTTCCACATGTAACTATTTTGAGGCAAGAAAATCAACTTTCAATGTGGCCGAAATAGCTCAGTTGGGAGAGCGTTTGACTGAAGATCTAAAGGTCCCTGGTTCAAATCCCGGGTTTTGGCAAAGTAATTTCAGTACCAATTTCTTTTAGAATGTTGAAAATGTTTATTTTTCAGTTCTATTAGAATCTTAAGGAAACTTTTTGTCTTCTGAGTGAAACCTTTGGGATAACTTCTTTCTACTAGAGTTTCTCGCTTTGATTTAAATTTCCTTGGCCGTTACGGCTGTTTTTCCTTAATTTAGGGAAATGTTTAAAATCTTCGGGTTAAATTGGATGACATAAAAAAAAAATTCTATTTGCCTAAATGCTACACATTGGGGCCTGTTAGCTCAGCTGGTTAGAGCATGGTGCTAATGACGCTGAAGTCGTGGGTTCGATCCCCACATAGGCCAAAGTGTTTTTTGAAAATAGGGAACCTTTATCGTTTTGTTAATTATTTCTGTTGGGACATTTCCACATGTAACTATTTTGAGGCGAGAAAATCAACTTCAATGTGGCCGAAATAGCTCAGTTGGGAGAGCGTTTGACTGCAGATCTAAAGGTCCCTGGTTCAATCCCGGGTTTCGGCAAAGTAATTTCAGTACCAATTTCTTGTAGAATGTTGAAAATGTTTATTTTTCAGTTCTTTTAGAATCTTAAGGAAACTTTTTGTCTTCTGAGTGAAACCTTTGGGATAACTTCTTCCTACTAGAGTTTCTCGCTTTGATTTAAATTTCCTTGGCCGTTACGGCTGTTTTTCCTTAAATTAGGGAAATGTTTAAAATCTTCGGGTTAAATTGGATGACAAAAAAAAATTCCTATTAGCCTAAATGCTACACATTGGGGCCTGTTAGCTCAGCTGGTTAGAGCGTGGTGCTAATAACGCCAAGGTTGTGGGTTCGATCCCCACATGGGCCAAAGTGTTTTTTGAAAATAGGGAACCTTTATCATTTGTTAATTATTTCTGTTGGGACATTTCCACATGTAACTATTTTGAGGCGAGAAAATCAACTTCAATGTGGCCAAAATTGCTCAGTTGGGAGAGTGTTTGACTGCAGATCTAAAGGTCCCTGGTTCAATCCTGGGTTTCGGCAAAGTAATTTCAGTACCAATTTCTTTTAGAATGTTGAAAATGTTTATTTTTCAGTTCTATTAGAATCTTAAGGAAACTTTTTGTCCTCTGAGTGAAACCTTTGAGATAACTTCTTCCTACTAGAGTTTCTCGCTTTGATTTAAATTTCCTTGGCCTTTACGGCTGTTTTTCCTTAAATTAGGGAAATGTTTAAATTTTTCGGGTTAAATTGGATGACATAAAAAAAAAAATTTCTATTAGCCTAAATGCTACACATTGGGGCCTGTTACCTCAGCTGGTTAGAGCGTGGTGCTAATAACGCCAAGGTCGTGGGATCGATCCCCACATGGGCCAAAGTGTTTTTTGAAAATAGGGAACCTTTATCATTTTGTTAATTATTTCTGTTGGGACATTTCCACATGTAACTATTTTGAAGCAAGAAAATCAACTTCAATATGTCCGAAATAGCTCAGTTGGGAGAGCGTTAGACTGCAGATCTAAAGGTCCCTGGTTCAATCCTGAGTTTTGGCAAAGTAATTTCAGTACCAATTTCTTTTAGAATGTTGAAAATGTTTATTTTTCAGTTCTATTAGAATCTTAAGGAAACTTTTTGTCTTCTGAGTGAAAACTTTGGGATAACTTCTTCCTACTAGAGTTTCTCGCTTTGATTTAAGTTTCCTTGGCCGTTACGGCTGTTTTTCCTTAAATTAGGGAAATGTTTAAATTCTTCGTGTTAAATTGGATGACAAAAAAAATATTTTTTTTTTCATTAGCCTAAATACTAGGCTTTGGGGCCTGTTAACTCAGCTGGTTAAAGTGTGATGCTAATGACGCTGAAGTCGTGGGTTCGATCCCCACATAGGCCAAAGTGTTTTTTGAAAATAGGGAACCTTTATCGTTTTGTTAATTATTTCTGTTTGGACATTTCCACATGTAACTATTTTGGGGCAAGAAAATCAACTTCAATATGGCCGAAATAGCTCAGTTGGGAGAGCGTTAGACTGAAGATCTAAAGGTCCGTGGTTCAATCCCGGGTTTCGGCAAAGTAATTTCAGTACCAATTTCTTTTAGAATGTTGAAAATGTTTATTTTTCAGTTCTATTAGAATCTTAAGGAAACTTTTTGTCTTCTGAGTGAAACCTTTGGGATAACTTCTTCCTACTAGAGTTTCTCGCTTTGATTTAAATTTCCTTGGCCGTTACGGCTGTTTTTCCTTAAATTAGGGAAATGTTTAAAATCTTCGGGTTAAATTGGATGACATAAAAAAAAATTTCTATTAGCCTAAATGCTACACATTGGGGCCTGTTAGCTCAGCTGGTTAGAGCGTGGTGCTAATAACGCCAAGGTCGTGGGTTCGATCCCCACATGGGCCAAAGTGTTTTTTGAAAATAGGGAACCTTTATCGTTTTGTTAATTATTTCTGTTTGGACATTTCCAGATGTAACTATTTTGAGGCAAGAAAATCAACTTCAATATGGCCGAAATAGCTCAGTTGGGAGAGCGTTAGACTGAAGATCTAAAGGTCCCTGGTTCAATCCCGGGTTTCGGCAAAGTAATTTCAGTACCAATTTCTTTTAGAATGTTGAAAATGTTTATTTTTCAGTTCTATTAGAATCTTAAGGAAACTTTTTGTCCTCTGAGTGAAACCTTTGGGATAACTTCTTCCTACTAGAGTTTCTCGCTTTGATTTAAATTTCCTTGGCCGTTACGGCTGTTTTTCCTTAAATTAGGGAAATGTTTAAATTTTTCGGGTTAAATTGGATGACATAAAAAAAAAATTCTATTAGCCTAAATGTTACACATTGGGGCCTGTTAGCTCAGCTGGTTAGAGCGTGGTGCTAATAACGCCAAGGTCGTGGGTTCGATCCCCACATAGGCCAAAGTGTTTTTTGAAAATAGGGAACCTTTATCATTTTGTTAATTATTTCTGTTGGGACTTTTCCACATGTAACTATTTTCAAGCAAGAAAATCAACTTAAATATGGCCGAAATAGCTCAGTTGGGAGACCGTTAGACTGAAGATCTAAAGGTCCCTGGTTCAATCCCGGGTTTCGGCAAAGTAATTTCAGTACCAATTTCTTTTAGAATGTTGAAAATGTTTATTTTTCAGTTCTATTAGAATCTTAAGGAAACTTTTTGTCCTCTGAGTGAAACCTTTGGGATAACTTCTTCCTACTAGAGTTTCTCGCTTTGATTTAAGTTTCCTTGGCTGTTACGGCTGTTTTTCCTTAAATTAGGGAAATGTTTAAATTCTTCGGGTTAAATTGGATGACAAAAAAAATATTTTTTTTTCATTAGCCTAAATGCTAGGCTTTGGGGCCTGTTAGCTCAGCTGGTTAAAGTGTGATGCTAATGACGCTGAAATCGTGGGTTCGATCCCCACATAGGCCAAAGTGTTTTTTGAAAATAGGGAACCTTTATCGTTTTGTTAATTATTTCTGTTTGGACATTTCCACATGTAACTATTTTGAGGCAAGAAAATCAACTTCAATATGGCTGAAATAGCTCAGTTGGGAGAGTGATAGACTGAAGATCTAAAGGTCCGTGGTTCAATCCCGGGTTTCGGCAAAGTAATTTCAGTACAAATTTCTTTTAGAATGTTGAAAATGTTTATTTTTCAGTTCTATTAGAATCTTAAGGAAACTTTTTGTCTTCTGAGTGAAACTTTTGGGATAACTTCTTCCTACTAGAGTTTCTCGCTTTGATTTAAATTTCCTTGGCCGTTACGGCTGTTTTTCCTTAAATTAGGAAATGTTTAAAATCTTCGGGTTAAATTGGATGACATAAAAAAAAATTTCTATTAGCCTAAATGCTACACATTGGGGCCTGTTAGCTCAGCTGATTAGAGCGTGGTGCTAATAACGCCAAGGTCGTGGGTTCGATCCCCACATGGGCCAAAGTGTTTTTTTGAAAATAGGGAACCTTTATCATTTTGTTAATTATTTCTGTTGGGACATTTCCACATGTAACTATTTTGAGGCGAGAAAATCAATTTCAATGTGGCCGAAATTGCTCAGTTGGGAGAGTGTTTGACTGCAGATCTAAAGGTCCCTGGTTCAATCCTGGGTTTCGGCAAAGTAATTTCAGTACCAATTTCTTTCAGAATGTTGAAAATGTTTATTTTTCTTTGGGATAACTTCTTCCTACTAGAGTTTCTCGCTTGGATTTAAATTTCCTTGGCCGTTACGGCTGTTTTTCCTTAAATTAGGGAAATGTTTAAATTCTTCGGGTTAAATTGGATGACAAAAAAATATTTTTTTTTATTAGCCTAAATGCTAGGCTTTGGGGCCTGTTAGCTCAGCTGGTTAGAGTGTGATGCTAATGACGCTGAAGTCGTGGGTTCGATCCCCACATGGGCCAAAGTGTTTTTTGAAAATAGGGAACCTTTATCGTTTTGTTAATTATTTCTGTTGGGACATTTCCACATGTAACTATTTTGAGGCAAGAAAATCAACTTCAAATATGGCCGAAATAGCTCAGTTGGGAGAGTGTTAGACTGAAGATCTAAAGGTCCTGGTTCAATCCGGGTTTCGGCAAAGTAATTTCAGTACCAATTTCTTTTAGAATGTTGAAAATGTTTATTTTTCAGTTCTATTAGAATCTTAAGGAAACTTTTTGTCTTCTGAGTGAAACCTTTGGGATAACTTCTTCCTACTAGAGTTTCTCGCTTTGATTTAAATTTCCTTGGCCGTTACGGCTGTTTTTCCTTAAATTAGGGAAATGTTTAAATTTTTCGGGTTAAATTGGATGACATAAAAAAAATTCTATTAGCCTAAATGCTACACATTGGGGCCTGTTAGCTCAGCTGGTTAGAGCGTGGTGCTAATAACGCCAAGGTCGTGGGTTCGATCCCCACATGGGCCAAAGTGTTTTTTGAAAATAGGGAACCTTTATCATTTTGTTAATTATTTCTGTTGGGACATTTCCACATGTAACTATTTTCAAGCAAGAAAATCAACTTAAATATGGCCGAAATAGCTCAGTTGGGAGAGCGTTAGACTGAAGATCTAA